TTAATAAGAGCTAAGTAATTTGTTGTCATCAACAGGTTTATTGTCTCTTAACTTCTTCGCACCTTACGCCATTAGCAAATTTGGCGTGGAAGCGTTCTCTGACGCTCTTAGACGAGAAATGCATCCCTGGGGAATAAAAGTGAGCATCATGGAACCAGGAGCATTCAAAACACAAATGAATAATTCTAGTGTGAGGGAAATACAACTAAAACAAGGCTGGGATAACTTGAATGACGACCTCAAGGAAGAGTACGGAGAAAATTACTTGGAAAAGAGTAGGCTAACCGTTAACTTCTTGTAAAAGTCCTTTTTTATCATATTATTTTCCTCACTCAATATATTTTTAGTTTAGTAAGTCACATAGTGCATAGTAACAATCACAAAATTCATACTCTTACCCCTGCACTGCCTCTAACAACACCACAGACGGCCACTTCCACTGCCAAAGCCCCTATCTCATACGGCCATTGGAACTGTAATTTACATTAACTTTGCTACTTTCGCTGCAGTTGTCCTTGCCCTTGTCATTTCCACCATCAATGCCACTGCCACTGCCACTGCCACAACCACTGCCGCTGCCGTCACTACCGCCATTGAGTCATTAGGGAGTTTAAGAAAACCACGACGGCAACGGCGACGGGAACGTCGCTAAACAAAAGGTTTAATGAGCAGAACAATAGCTGTGCACGTGCGTTATAATTCTTGGTACATTTCTTTGCCTCCTCTACAAAACAACAACGTGAAAAAGACCAAATTCTGCGTTGTCCAGAGAACGTGAACCACGACGGCTAATTTTTTTTATTTTCATTTCAAAGGTTTCGCCCAGTCCGAGATTTAATTTCGTGATGGTTTTGACACTAAGAAACAAAGGAAAATGACTTGAGAGTATCGCGAGATTCGTAGGTAAAATATAAAATCATTTTTTAATCGACGTTGTCCTCGGCGTCGCGTCCTGGTTTCTCAAACTCCCTATTGTTCAAGATTCCGAGAATCCCTCCCCTTAATTAAAATGATGTGGAAATCAAGCGCTTGGATGAATAGAAATCAACTTGGGGAGGAGGGAGTTAAAACGACTCGTTCATTTGCTGGCGAAACGATTAAGCGTGCCAATACTTCTGTCCCGAATTGTAGTTAGCTCAATTTGCAATAAATGTTGAATAGCAAAAGTTTATTTCGTTGTCGTTTCCTTGTGGTAGGTACCTGTAAGAAGACCAAAATCGAGCAAAACTCGTCCTGAGTTGCTTTTTAAACGTGTTGTAGACATAGGTTATCATTCATTGCTATCTGTTTCAGGCATCACGTTCCTTACTGCTACACCTCCCTCATCTCATATACCACAAGTTAGTGATGCTGTTGTCGATGCTCTGACATCACAGTCACCACGTGATCGCTATTTAGTCGGTTTGGACGCCTGGTTTATAACCGCTTGGATGGCGCGGTTACCAACCTTCGTGGCAGACTTCATAATTACCCACGTGCTATGTGGAAACATAGTACCTCAGGGAAGCAAGTAACGTAGAACTATATGCAGTAACAAAGCTAGCAAAGCCGTGCTATACATCAAACTCTGTATACGAAAGTGGCAATCACAATTTAATGGTGCACGCTTACGGCTTTAGCAGTGGGAAAAGTTTTCCGCGGCTTGGTTTCATCAGAAAATTTTTTTCTCGCTCGGGTGGACAGACTGAGAGAGCGAGAAATGTAGCTTTCGAACGGAAATTTGCAAATTGGATCGAGTTTCAAACATTCGTAGGTTTAATATAAACTCAACATTTTGATTCAGTCATATATGTGGTATAGATAAGTGATTACCTGTAAATACAATCACCGTCAGTTTATAAAATAAAGGCTGTCAATCCAAGTATGATTCTTTTTTCATCCCTTCAGGTAAACAATTTGCACACAAAATATAAAGGGGGACTAAACTTTTGCTTCACTTTTATTCCTAGAGTACCCTTAAGATCTTTTAATTAGAATGTAATGCTCTGAATACACCTTGCAAGGCGCGTGCTTGGTAAAAATTGTTGATCAACGATCGATATATAATATAATTTGTAGTTTACACGTGCAGCAAAACAAGTAGCACTACTTTGTTGTCCAACTTATAACTTAGAAAGGTGACAATTAAAGAACTGAAACATCGGTATTTCAGTTTCCTCCTCGAGTATAAGAAACGTTTCAACTATGAGCCCGTGATTATGTTTTATGTTATTCCCCATGAAGCCATGACCAGTTAGGTTAGTTCCTGGACATTCCGGTGTCTAGCCAATGCAAGAGGTATGTCACCCTCGCATACACGCCAAACTTCCCGGCTACGGCACATCCATAGCCCCAGCTGATGACGCCCTGCAGATAAAACTTCTCACCAGTCTCACACACCATAGGTCCTCCACTATCTCCCTGACATGTGTCAATTCCACCCTTGTCTAGGCCCGTACATTCCATTGAGTCGTGGATCTTTCCTGAGTAAGGTCAATCACAGCGAGTGACTTACTACGGAAACTTGGACCTGCTGAAGATAGTCTGGACTGTCACCATTGGAAGATAGTGTGCCTAAACCCGTGATCCAGAATTTGGTACCGTCAGATAGTTCCGCTACGGCCTGCGGAAGACACACCAGACTTACAAACCTAACCAGTGGGGGAGAGAGGATCAGTAGAGGGAACAATTACGATCAGCCGTTGGGAAGGCGCTTCCATAAAAATGGCGCCACAAATAGTTTGAGAAAGGCAAAGTTGATGACTATTTGACTGTAGTTTACTATGGAAAAAATAATCGTCAAAATTATGTCGTGAACGTTTCGTAAAGAAACTCTCTTACATACATGAGAAATGGGGCAAGTGTGAGGTGACGATGACTGTGTATTTGCCGAGTTCTTCTTGGCTGGATCGAGACCTTTTATGGTCCACTACCACGTCAGGAGCCCATGACCATGTAGAAAAGATGAAGGTGGAAATTGAGCCATTTTTACTGAACAAGCTCAGACAATGAATACTTTCTTGTATGGCACAAAGAACACTACTTTTCGTGCTGGAAATAGCACACAAACTCGATAGAGCAAGATACTAACCACACACAGTGCGGGATATGGGACCTCTTGCTAGAGACCCCTGCAGGGATGCACATAGACCGCGCGCGATATGGTGTTGTGGTAGTGTTGTGACCAAAAGGAGCTCTGGGTACGAGAAGGTACGCAAACAGTGCGAATATAGATTGCGCCGCACCCAACCAGTCCTGGTATTGCTGTATCAACTTTCTCAGTGAGTATTTTAACTGTAGAGCTGCTTTTGTGTTTTGTTTTTTACAGTTTCTAAGCTTTTCATACAACGAAACAATTGTGTGTGAAGCAATTTTTCGATGTACAGTAGTCATTGGTGACAATATGCTGTTTACGATTAAGGCTGGTTTTCACTAGCGCATAAGCACAAGCATAAGCATAAGAAAGTGAGAACACCCACGACATAAGCATAAGCATAGGCACAAGAAGAACGAACATGGTTCGTTCTTCTTGTGTTTATGTTATGCTTATGTCGTAGTGCGAACGCGAGTGAAATAAGCATCAGCATAAGCGTAAGGTGGCCATGTTGATTGCATAGTCCAGGAAAGCTGGTATCGAGAAATTTTGTTAATACTGCGCCTGCGTATACTCTTATGCTTATGTTCTGGCGTTCTCATTTGCTTATGCTTATGCTTATGATTGTGCTTATGTGCTAATGAAAACCAGCCTTAACTTGCAATCTAATCAGTCACTGAGCACTTATTTGACTACACTGCAGTCTACTGCTGTCATGAATACAAAAGCTTCTGTCCCTGACAAAGCACTGCACCGAAATTGCCTGCAAAGAACTGCAGAAAGTGGTATTTGGGTTACACAGCCTGCAGTGTAGGCATTTTTGCTTGGCTAGCTGAGGGAGGAATAATTTTGTTAACAATCTTGTCTGGTACATCTTATGGCCACCTTTAAGTCGGGAAATGTAGAGTGTTGGAGGGTAACCATCTCCGTCACCCATTTCCTTTCTCCCCATGAAAACCCTTTTTATGGAATCAACTAAATACAGGAATGATAGTGTTCTGTTTAGACTTCATAACACTGATCTGAGAATGGTTAGTTCTTTAATAATTGTTAGCGTAATATATAAAATCTCTTAGAATTCCATGTTATTAGTACAGCTCTCCAGTGGTGCAGGTGGCAATGACACTTGGACATGACAGTTATTGTTGTGTTCCACGCAGTGCCTTTAATTTTTGCTTTTTCCTATGTCCATATTCTGAGAAAAAAATTCAAGTGCCTGGACAACATTGACAGGCTTTCAAGCTGCCCCCTAAATACACTTCACCTAACACAAAGGATAATGTGTACAAGGCATCCGCGGGCAAGTGTTGATCCATACCCTCGATCAACATCTCAATTGGCACTCCATCAACATCCTGATGGATACTCAGTTGACTCTCAATCGACACTTGATCAACGTTGGCTGGGTGTCAACCAACTCATATGCATCCCTTGACAATTGGTCTACTGTCAATTGACTGTCTACCGAAAATGAAGGTGGAGTGTCAACCAAGGTGTCGATAAAGTGTTGATTGAGGGTAACAATCAACACTTGACTGTGGATGCCTTTAGTACACATGATCCCACAAATGTACAAAATATTATCGAACCTTCACTAACAATCACCTCAGATCTCTACAATCGCCAGTATTCTACAACAGCCACTTTTATCTGTCTCCAAGGTGGCCATTGTGGAGAGATTTGACTGTACCAAATTTTCTACAACATTTCTTAATTCACTGGGGCCAGTCAGTAATGTCATTTTATTTTCTTTGCTAACTAGGTATGTATGCTTTATCTAAATTGTCCTCCAGTCACAGAAATAGTGACCCTTCACAGACACTGACTGTCTGAAACACAGCAGGAAAGCATTGAATTTTGGGGCATGGGAACCACTTAGAATTTCATGGCTTAATTAAATCTAGTTCTCAGAATTGATACACAGGAAAGTGTCTGTCAATTATTCTCATGTTTGCATCCTGAGTTCTCTGGTGGGATTTTCTCATTTTTCCTCTAGAAAATGAATCATAAACGTAGCTCTGCAAGGGGCAGAGGGATACAAAAAGAAAAGAGGAAACTGGAGTTGGAATTGGTAGATGTGTCTAAAAATGGTAGGAGAGAAGCAGAGTCAGTGGCAAGCACAAGTGGTACAGTTGAAGTTAGCCAGAAGGTAGTGGCAAGAAATGAGCTATGTGGGAGTGATTCAGACATCACTGTTGAGGGTGTGGAGATTGAGCAGCAGCAGCCGCAGTGCAGAGACATGGCACCTGGTACTAGTAAAAATGGTGAGAAACATGAACAAGTGCAGGCTGATGCAGAGGTTCCTCAGGTACTTGACCATGAAAATCAATTATTTGTTACAAAGTAGAGGTTCTGTCACTGTGCGAATCCTAGTCATTGTTACAGTTTGCAGTCTTTATTTATCTTGCATCTGATTGGCTTTCCTTCACCACACAATAGCATTCCAGAAATAATTCTATTGTATTCAGATTCATACCATAAATCAGTCTCGGCAATCAAACATGTGGCCCAGTCCCAGTTTGAGTGGGACACTATGGACCATAAACTTAAGGAAGTGTAGCAGCTCTTGTAAGATAGTAAATAAATTCAAGTTGTTGTCATAGTGTAGCAGCTGTTACTGTTCTGGGGCTAAGGGTATTCTTTGTGATTTGTTCTATAAATTGTTCTATCAAGGCTATTGAGCCATTCTTATGAGACCTGACCCAAAATTGTTGGTAATCTGTGAATACAACCAAGCCCCTGTGATGACTGAGATGAAAGGGGTTGCCCAAAACTGGTTAACGTAATTGTCATTTGAAAACTGGAAGGTTTGGGGGTTGGGTCCTGACCTATTAGTTTGTTGTGATTTAGATATTTTGGGAAATTTTTTAGGAGTGAAAAATGGTTTTAGTTATGAAAAAAATTACCAGATCCCAGACGAAACCCTTTGATAAAGTTGAATTAAGAATTAACAGCAGCAAACGCATATCTCAAGTCTCTTACTAACCTTGCCATATGATTCCTCCTCTCCAATACCTTGTCAGTTTATTGCACTAATTAATATTTATTTCTTTTTAATCGTGTTTTAGGGAAGAAAAGGCAATTATCACTTGGAAAAATTGCCAAAAAGCTTTTCGACTGGCTGCATGGAGGAGGAATACCATGCACTGTGCACCATTAAAACTGCAGCGGACAGACTAGCGGAAAAGGGGGTGCTGTCTTGTGTTGCTGAGCGGGCTATGAGTTGGCTACGGCTATCATATAAAAAAATTCATGACAAAGACCTACCGAGACAAGCCTGTAAGTGAAAATTTCCATGTTTTGAAACAGGAACTGGTTTTTGTTAAGTTACAATATTGATACCACTAAGGAAAAAAGAAAAATGAAGTATTAAATCTCCACTTGGTCAGCTGCATGTAGTTCCAAATAATATATTCAAGGTGTATATCCCCACTAGTATTGGCCCTCATCAGTTTCTTGGTGTATTTGATATACTTAGTACACCCAGCAAATTATCCCGAACTTCAAAAATCATTTTGTATGAGGCACTGTATGATCTCCAGTCAAGAGTTCTGGGTTAAATCCCTGGTCAGGGGTCATTGTGTTCACTTTCTGTGCAAGGCACTTCACGTTTGCAAAACATCTCTCCACCCAAGACCCCCACAAAATGTTGGGGGTTACTAGCTTGTGCAGCTTCCTTTCCAAAGGCACGTACTGCAAGAGATATGCAAAAGCTACGGTAGCTTGGGGTGCAATGAATCAATCCAACCTTAATCACTTGTCAGAGTGTTCTAGCTCAACCAAAAAGCTGTACTAATTTATGACACCTACACTAAACTTGTTCCTAATGTAAAGAGCTAAAATACATAATTATTGAGATAAACCTATTATTAAAATTCTTTAAAATTGTAGAATAAATTTATAGATTAGCTACAATTGTAGTTCCTAACATAAAAAGCTAAAATCCATTAAGATGAACCTACTTATTAAAATTCTTTAAACTTTTAGCATAAATTAGTAGATTCATCAATAGTCAGGTTAATGAGCCACTAAAGCAATTTATCATGGGAGAGGGGATGGCAAGGCATAACCAGGTTTGAACTGGTATTCTATAATGGCCAAAAGAAGTATCTCCTTGACCTGTGAGTAGTGTGTGNCTGCGCCTGCGTATACTCTTATGCTTATGTTCTGGCGTTCTCATTTGCTTATGCTTATGCTTATGATTGTGCTTATGTGCTAATGAAAACCAGCCTTAACTTGCAATCTAATCAGTCACTGAGCACTTATTTGACTACACTGCAGTCTACTGCTGTCATGAATACAAAAGCTTCTGTCCCTGACAAAGCACTGCACCGAAATTGCCTGCAAAGAACTGCAGAAAGTGGTATTTGGGTTACACAGCCTGCAGTGTAGGCATTTTTGCTTGGCTAGCTGAGGGAGGAATAATTTTGTTAACAATCTTGTCTGGTACATCTTATGGCCACCTTTAAGTCGGGAAATGTAGAGTGTTGGAGGGTAACCATCTCCGTCACCCATTTCCTTTCTCCCCATGAAAACCCTTTTTATGGAATCAACTAAATACAGGAATGATAGTGTTCTGTTTAGACTTCATAACACTGATCTGAGAATGGTTAGTTCTTTAATAATTGTTAGCGTAATATATAAAATCTCTTAGAATTCCATGTTATTAGTACAGCTCTCCAGTGGTGCAGGTGGCAATGACACTTGGACATGACAGTTATTGTTGTGTTCCACGCAGTGCCTTTAATTTTTGCTTTTTCCTATGTCCATATTCTGAGAAAAAAATTCAAGTGCCTGGACAACATTGACAGGCTTTCAAGCTGCCCCCTAAATACACTTCACCTAACACAAAGGATAATGTGTACAAGGCATCCGCGGGCAAGTGTTGATCCATACCCTCGATCAACATCTCAATTGGCACTCCATCAACATCCTGATGGATACTCAGTTGACTCTCAATCGACACTTGATCAACGTTGGCTGGGTGTCAACCAACTCATATGCATCCCTTGACAATTGGTCTACTGTCAATTGACTGTCTACCGAAAATGAAGGTGGAGTGTCAACCAAGGTGTCGATAAAGTGTTGATTGAGGGTAACAATCAACACTTGACTGTGGATGCCTTTAGTACACATGATCCCACAAATGTACAAAATATTATCGAACCTTCACTAACAATCACCTCAGATCTCTACAATCGCCAGTATTCTACAACAGCCACTTTTATCTGTCTCCAAGGTGGCCATTGTGGAGAGATTTGACTGTACCAAATTTTCTACAACATTTCTTAATTCACTGGGGCCAGTCAGTAATGTCATTTTATTTTCTTTGCTAACTAGGTATGTATGCTTTATCTAAATTGTCCTCCAGTCACAGAAATAGTGACCCTTCACAGACACTGACTGTCTGAAACACAGCAGGAAAGCATTGAATTTTGGGGCATGGGAACCACTTAGAATTTCATGGCTTAATTAAATCTAGTTCTCAGAATTGATACACAGGAAAGTGTCTGTCAATTATTCTCATGTTTGCATCCTGAGTTCTCTGGTGGGATTTTCTCATTTTTCCTCTAGAAAATGAATCATAAACGTAGCTCTGCAAGGGGCAGAGGGATACAAAAAGAAAAGAGGAAACTGGAGTTGGAATTGGTAGATGTGTCTAAAAATGGTAGGAGAGAAGCAGAGTCAGTGGCAAGCACAAGTGGTACAGTTGAAGTTAGCCAGAAGGTAGTGGCAAGAAATGAGCTATGTGGGAGTGATTCAGACATCACTGTTGAGGGTGTGGAGATTGAGCAGCAGCAGCCGCAGTGCAGAGACATGGCACCTGGTACTAGTAAAAATGGTGAGAAACATGAACAAGTGCAGGCTGATGCAGAGGTTCCTCAGGTACTTGACCATGAAAATCAATTATTTGTTACAAAGTAGAGGTTCTGTCACTGTGCGAATCCTAGTCATTGTTACAGTTTGCAGTCTTTATTTATCTTGCATCTGATTGGCTTTCCTTCACCACACAATAGCATTCCAGAAATAATTCTATTGTATTCAGATTCATACCATAAATCAGTCTCGGCAATCAAACATGTGGCCCAGTCCCAGTTTGAGTGGGACACTATGGACCATAAACTTAAGGAAGTGTAGCAGCTCTTGTAAGATAGTAAATAAATTCAAGTTGTTGTCATAGTGTAGCAGCTGTTACTGTTCTGGGGCTAAGGGTATTCTTTGTGATTTGTTCTATAAATTGTTCTATCAAGGCTATTGAGCCATTCTTATGAGACCTGACCCAAAATTGTTGGTAATCTGTGAATACAACCAAGCCCCTGTGATGACTGAGATGAAAGGGGTTGCCCAAAACTGGTTAACGTAATTGTCATTTGAAAACTGGAAGGTTTGGGGGTTGGGTCCTGACCTATTAGTTTGTTGTGATTTAGATATTTTGGGAAATTTTTTAGGAGTGAAAAATGGTTTTAGTTAGGAAAAAAATTACCAGATCCCAGACGAAACCCTTTGATAAAGTTGAATTAAGAATTAACAGCAGCAAACGCATATCTCAAGTCTCTTACTAACCTTGCCATATGATTCCTCCTCTCCAATACCTTGTCAGTTTATTGCACTAATTAATATTTATTTCTTTTTAATCGTGTTTTAGGGAAGAAAAGGCAATTATCACTTGGAAAAATTGCCAAAAAGCTTTTCGACTGGCTGCATGGAGGAGGAATACCATGCACTGTGCACCATTAAAACTGCAGCGGACAGACTAGCGGAAAAGGGGGTGCTGTCTTGTGTTGCTGAGCGGGCTATGAGTTGGCTACGGCTATCATATAAAAAAATTCATGACAAAGACCTACCGAGACAAGCCTGTAAGTGAAAATTTCCATGTTTTGAAACAGGAACTGGTTTTTGTTAAGTTACAATATTGATACCACTAAGGAAAAAAGAAAAATGAAGTATTAAATCTCCACTTGGTCAGCTGCATGTAGTTCCAAATAATATATTCAAGGTGTATATCCCCACTAGTATTGGCCCTCATCAGTTTCTTGGTGTATTTGATATACTTAGTACACCCAGCAAATTATCCCGAACTTCAAAAATCATTTTGTATGAGGCACTGTATGATCTCCAGTCAAGAGTTCTGGGTTAAATCCCTGGTCAGGGGTCATTGTGTTCACTTTCTGTGCAAGGCACTTCACGTTTGCAAAACATCTCTCCACCCAAGACCCCCACAAAATGTTGGGGGTTACTAGCTTGTGCAGCTTCCTTTCCAAAGGCACGTACTGCAAGAGATATGCAAAAGCTACGGTAGCTTGGGGTGCAATGAATCAATCCAACCTTAATCACTTGTCAGAGTGTTCTAGCTCAACCAAAAAGCTGTACTAATTTATGACACCTACACTAAACTTGTTCCTAATGTAAAGAGCTAAAATACATAATTATTGAGATAAACCTATTATTAAAATTCTTTAAAATTGTAGAATAAATTTATAGATTAGCTACAATTGTAGTTCCTAACATAAAAAGCTAAAATCCATTAAGATGAACCTACTTATTAAAATTCTTTAAACTTTTAGCATAAATTAGTAGATTCATCAATAGTCAGGTTAATGAGCCACTAAAGCAATTTATCATGGGAGAGGGGATGGCAAGGCATAACCAGGTTTGAACTGGTATTCTATAATGGCCAAAAGAAGTATCTCCTTGACCTGTGAGTAGTGTGTGTGGCCTTACAGTACCCTGCTGTGTTTTTATATTGACAGGCCGAGTTGAAGAGACACAAGTTCTGGAAACACTTGAAGCCATCACTGAATGTAACACAAGCCCTGAAACCAGCAACACGGGAACAGCGCAAGGCACAGAGCAGCCATCTTCTGAAGACTTGCCACAAACTCGTCGCTCCAAGCGCTTGGCACAGGCCTCGAAGGTTAACCAACCTGCAAGCAAGAAATCAAAACCGGAAGTAGAAACGGAGCATGAAGATGATGATGATGATGATGATGACGACACCTTGCAAGCAGAAGCCTCAGCTGCCTCTGACATTTCATCCACCAGTGAGGTAGAAGTGGGACGTGGGTGGAAAAACACTTATAAGCGATCGCCACAGCCCAACAGTCGCATGGAATACCTTTCACAATATTATCAACATCTCCAGACCTTCTTCGGTGGCGAGTATACCGAGAATGAGGCTCTGGAGTTTACAAGATGTCTCCATCGAATGATGGAGAACATCGATTGTACCACCTCAAGTATCGATGGGCTCCTTGACCCTGACAAAGTATGGGAATGGGCAAATGCCCGTATAGAAACGACAATGGTTGGGCGAACGGTCCAAAAGTACTTGCTCTCCCTTGAGAAATTTTGCCATTTCATTGTGCACAAGCGGTCACCTCAGCTTCCCAAGTTGAGAAAAGCTTCGCTGAAGTTGGCACAGGAGGTGCACAATAGATGCCCCACATGGAGGAGGAGTGCAAACAGAATTGCTGCAGAGAGGAGGTGGAAGAAGATTAAAGACGATCCCGAATACATGGAGAAGGTATGGGAGGAAGGCAGGAGAAGAAGAGCTGACGCATTTGACGAAAACATCCTCGGACTTCGCAATCCAACACCCATTGGCTCACGGCCCCTGAGGTCAAAGTGGGACCGAAAGGATGAGAAACTACTGCTTCGTTTTTTTGCATTCAAGCCACCGAAGGACATCATCCGACGTGTATGTGAAGAAGTCGACGAACTGCAAGAGCTAGTGGCCCGAAAGGGGTTTGATCGTGTTTATGAGAAAGTGAAAACTATGTATAGGAGAACAAGGGCTATCATTGGATAAACAATTCGACAAAGACGAAGCAATAAGCATCTATGAAGCTAACTTTATTAATTCAATTGAATCTTTAGCTTTTTCTGCTTCCTAATATTTCAATGTACCAGTTCATCTCCTTAGTAGCAATGCCTTGAAAGTTGTTTCGTTTGTTACAGTTCACACGAAACATCTTTACAACACAGAAACAGAAAAAAAGGTTTTAAGAAAGTACTGTGTTGCTAAGAGAAATAATCGTGAAGCTAAATTTAAGAGGCATTTAGAGAACATAAGTTATCAGGTTGCGTTGTTTATATTTCATGTTATGGTTGTTTCGTTATTCGGTCAAAGGACTTGTTCTTGTAAGCAACAAGTAATCGTTCCTTTTCTTATTGTGTGACAGACATTTGCAACTTAATCCTTCTCCATTGATTGACTATTCACATGAAGGCGAAAGTTCGTTAAAAAGTTTGGAAAACTAACAGAAAGATGTCACTTCGCATCTGACAACGGTTCTGTGTATTTCATTGCAATTAAACATGAAATCTCCCACCTTTACTAAATTATGCAAAAGTATTGTCTGTTCTAGGAATTAAAAAAAAAAGAAATTTATTGACACAAGTAGTCAGGCACAATAACATGTATTCGCCACCCTCACTGACATCAACTCACCGATCAAAAAACATCGCTGAACAAGTCATTCTTTACAAGTCTCACCTGCTGATTTTTACATGTGGAATTTTTCCTCCAGTCACGAAGGTCTTAAATATGTCATATAATTTTTCGAAGCGACGATCAAAATATTTCTTACAGATCCTAAGAGGAAATTTTCGAAAATGTCCAAGAACTTAAAAATTTCATTATGCATCTGAGAACGACCCACATGACCAAAGGCGTGATCATTACAATCGATCGACGCATGCTTCTGTCACATATTATCATCGACACGCGCTTGTCACATACTTTTCCTCGCTTCCTTACGAGTCTAGTTCTCAGTCAACCTCTGACGTTACGCCTCTACACTAGATACGACCCCTAAAGGACAGATTGACGTAGTTTTCCCATTTTCAGGAGCAAAATGATAGCATGGTATCACGGGAAGATGGCTTGTCACTTGGCAGGCAAGAACTAAAGCGCAGTTTCGTTTTGACGCGCTGTTGTCGTCTTGAGTTCTTCCTCCAGGAGAGATATCCTCTCTTTCATAGTTCTCACCTAAAAAAAGACAAAAACGCACCGTGAAAAACGAGCCAGAATCAACAGTCAATTCGTTCAGAACTTTCAAATAAGCCTTGCAAATCAGATTTGATTTGGCCGTGTTATTGAGTTTGGTTATTCATGTAAACGCAGTGAAGTCAAGTCACTAGGCCTAGTTGGCTTAATAGGCGATTTGCATGATGGTGTCATTAGACTACAACTACCAGAATCCTTCACTTTTTCTGTTTCTTATGTTAATTAGGGCAGTTGTTACTTAAACCCCACTGGGAATTCAAAATTTAAATAACAAAGAAAAAACGAAAGGAATTCTGGTAGTTGTAGTCAAATGACGACAACGTGCAAATCTGCTATTATAACTTCACATCCTTAAATAAGAATGGTGGATGTTGCGTGTACACTCGATTCCCAATGAACTCTTCCTATGAATATGCCGAAAATATGTACCTAATACAAGCGTTTTGGGCAAACAATAATAGGGAGCTTAAGAAACCACGACGGAGACGTCGAGGACAACGTCGATTACAAAAATGATTTTATATTTTACCCACGAATCTCGCGGTACCCTAAAGTCATTTACTTTGTTTATCACTGTTAAAGCTATCACGAAACTGAATCTAGGACACATCGATTAATTCGAAATAAAAATTTAAAAAATTAGCCGTCGTGGTTCACGTTCTCCAAACAACGCAGAACTTGATCATTTCGATCAGAACTTGATCATTTTGATCGATGCCGTTGCCGTTGCCGTCGTGGTTAAGCTCCCTAATGCCTCGTCCACAGGTGTCCTCCTGACGACGGCAACAGTAACGGGAAGTGTAGCTACACAAAAGGTTTAATGAGCAGAACAATGGCTGTGCACGTGCGTTATAATTCTTGGTGCATTTCTTTGCCGTCCTATGCAAACCAGCAACGTGAACTGAACAAATTCTGCGTTGTCTGGAGAACGCGAACCACGACGGCTTGTTTTGTAAATTTTTATTTCAACGTTATCGCTGTGTCCCAGAATCAGTTCCGTGAAAGTTTTGACAGTGAGAAACAAACTAAATGACCTTGAATATCGCGAGATTCGTGGGTAAAATATAGTCATTTTTTAATCGACGTTGTCCTCGACGTCGCCGTCGTGGTTACTTAAAATCCCTAAGATTCGAGAGTGGAAAAAGGAAAACATTCCTTGAATTACCGCCGGACTAGTGAGGACCAGAACATTTGTATGCGTTTGCAGACGTAAAAGTATTACATAGCTTAATCAAACAACCGACTAGGTAAAGAAGTTCGGCTGAGAAAGTGCCCTTCCAATCATATAAACGCGAAAGAGAAACTGAAGAGTAAAAGGTCAGTCTTAGTTTCCAAGGTAATCCCTTTCGAGTTATTTTAAGATCACCACCGGTTTCAAAAATACCAGAAGGGTCTAAAATTGTCAATTCTGTAGCGCGAAATTCACGTGGATAGTCTGTGCACGCATTTTCACCATCAACGCAGCGCGCGTGGTCACAGTAAAAATCCGTGGAAGAACTGGGTACCATGTCTAAAAATAACTTGAGAAGGATTGCCTTAGGAATAAGGCCCACAGGAGATTAACTCTCTAATTCATCTTCTCTTGGTATGCAAGATTAAGCGCAAGCACGAGATCACATAAGCACATACGCACCTGAGCGTCATGTCTCTCCACCATTGTGATCATCTGCTGCTCCAGTTTTCTTAGCCTGGCTCCGTGTTTCTTCTTCGCTTTCTCGTAAGCTGCCACGAGTGCGCCATTCGCTTTCTTCAAGTCTGCCACGTATTCGGCTGTTTGTTGATGTCTTGTTTCGGAGTTTTTCGACAGACTCTCCAGTGTTTCAACCAATTCCTGGATTCTCGCTTTCAGCTTCTTTTCTCTCCTGGCAGCTTCGTACAAATCCGGTGGGATGTCTTCGTCTGATGTTTTCAGTTCCGCAAGGGTAATGGACGGTGTTCCCGAAGGGCTTCCTCCTGATTTTTCGTCCGACTGAAATAAATCAAAAAATTATAGTTATGTTGAGCCTTCACAGCAGCTGCTTCGATTCTCACGCAATCCCGCGTCATTTCCGACATTCCAAGGACTAGCAGCGTAACAACGTAGACGGCTACAAGAACAACGGAGTCCGTTATATCTGAAAGATGCGAATCAACCGAAATTTCAGTAAATGCATTTTACTACCGTAGCACTAGATTCTTGACGCGTGTTTAGTAGTTTATCCAAGCCGGCAACATCTAAATTTTGAGCGCTGGCCACACGTTTTTCACTCCACCTCAATGAAAATTGTGCACTGGGCAGGGAGGGAGAGTAACAACACTCCTACTCGCGTCACGCTACAGGGACAGCAGAGTTACGCACAGTAGCGTTACGCACCAGGCTCTAAAGCGGCTTTACTTTTACCTACCTTGCTACTGGCGACGCCAGCATCTTTCTGCAATCTCCTCCTTCTCCGTATCTCATCCTGCATTTCAGTTTTTAAATGTTCGATGTGAACAAGGTACGCCTGTTCCTGGGCGTCACGTGACGTGATCTTGAGCTCTAAAGCTTTCTTCTCTTTTTCAATTAAATAATTCTTAGCTTTCAATTCTGCTTTTTCTTCCTTGAGCGCCATTAATTCCTGCATAAGTACGGCGTTTTCCAAGTCCACTTTGGGATCAAGTGGTTCCAGTTTCAAATCTTTGGGTTGCGCCACTTCGTGCAAACTTTCCAATTCGATTACAGTTAGGCCGACCGTAGACCTTTCGGATTTTAACTGTTGAATGTAACTTTTTAATCTGGCCTCTTCTTCTGGAGTAAACTCCATATCATTTGATGAACCCGTTGAGCTAGTTCTACTGTTTGATGATACAGATTCCCACGGCTGACCGCCGCCATTTTGGCTCTCGAAGTTACGATCAAGTTTTTGCAACAGCGAGCGCGCTTCGTTTTCCGCCGTTCTTCTCCGATTTACGCACGAATCAACATCTTCGGGCACACGATCATTTTCTTCGGCTTCGGCTTCTTCGGCGTACATGAGTCTATATGGCGAGTCATTACATGACGTTACGTAGCTGTGAAGACCAGTTTTAACACCAGCCGCGCGACAGTTGGCAAAAAGCCTGGCTTGCTCCGCTTCAGATAACTGTAACAACACTTCATATGTCTCGATGACTCGGTCAGAAAAGTTTAACGCCAGTTGAAGTGCAGTACAGTTCGACTCGTATTTTCCCATGAGAACACACATTCTGTCCGCGTTGTTTCGACTCTCTTCTAAAGACAAAGAGATCACATTGTTTTGAGCCTGTAAATGATCAAAGCGACTTGTTAACATTTCAATTTCGAGCTCGTATTCCTTGAGCTTTTTGTCGGCCTGTGCATCGCAGAAAGTGAAGAGCGCCTTAAACACGTCTAGAGCCGTCCTGCAACTCTCCAGGGCTTGAACGAGATCCGAAGGCAGTTTACCAGATGGAAATTCAGGTAGCTGACTCTATGATAGAAAAACAAACCAAAGTTACAGTAGTATTTAGACAACGTTCGTCCTGAGATGAAATTGCCTCTGACATAATCAAATGAATAAAGAAACGCGTGGAGACAAGCAAGGAGAAGAGCAATTATCAATCTCACAGATAAGTAAGTGTCAAAATCCTAATTCCAACATGATTTGTGGTTTGAACCAGAGTAGAACAGAGAGCCCAAATTTTTAGGATTGGTCCTTCTTCGTAAGTGGCTAAGAATCAATTAACACTATCATTCCTGCTATCCTAACTCCCCATTCTAATTATTTATTAGCCTTAGTAAACAGAAATCTCCCTTCAAGCCCTCAGTTCTTTCCCCCGCTCGAGAGACACGTCTGAGATAAGCCTGCGAACGTAGACGTATTTCCGGCTGTTATTTTCGGCGAAGACAAGCGACAGCCTGAATACGTCTGCGTTAGCAGGCTAGTCTGAGATTCGAGCCAAAAATTTCCGGTGATGACGTCACCTATACAGGGATCCTTGTAGGTCTCTGATTGGTTGTTCCTTGCGCGCGAAAGTTCAAAACTAAGCGACAGCAAATAGCCACCCTGTTGCTCTCGGTTTTGAATTTTAGCGCGCAAGGAGCAACCAATCAGACACGCTACACCGATCTTTCCAGAGACATGTCTTGGCTCGTATCTCAAAAGTAATCTCAAACGCCCCTCCAGTGGTGTTAGATTTGAACTGGCGATACTTACAAGAGCTTTGATACAGTTCACCCCAGTGATTGCTGGACTTTGCGTCCCATCGTCCACCATTTTCGCCACAACTGTAATCTCTTGAGAACCATGCATGGACGATCCCAGATCACTAGTTGCACCAGGCCTCCAGAACGCCTGACTGGAGATGGACTGAACACTACCTGATGGATGACGTAACGGTCGAGCTGGGCTACCATCAGAAGTCGCCCACACTCCTTCCGAGATGCTTGGTCTGCGGACCTGCCCATTTGGAGTGGGCTGAGAACCTCGACCGTGACTATGCATACTTAAACTATCAGTACTGGAGCGCCTTGAGATACGGGGCGATGTCAAAAAGCCTTCTTTACCCGAGACATCTGAGGAAGCACCCAAGCTGGCTTGTCTGCTGTGCATGCGGGGTCCTGACTGACCGGACGATGGTTGAGTGTTTCGCCGTGGTGTGCTGGGGGATCTGGGCTGGGTACCCTGTGATTGAAGGCTGTTGGTCCGTGTTCTGGCTTGCTGTTCATACTGAAGTGATTTCTGATGGAGCAGTTTGAGCTGATCCTGCATTTCAAGAACCTTAGAAGAAAATCAAGACTTAGAAATCAATTTAAAAAATTCCATCAAAGTGAAGATCTGCATGTAATCTGCAAAAAGATAAAAATATAAAAAATAGCAAGTTGTCGCTTTTTGAGTTGGTTACAAGTAAAGTAGGATAATAAAGCTCATCTTATGAATTTTTCTCAAGATTTGTCACAACCGAATGCACAGCCATATTCTAAACAACTGAAGTTTCCAGGGACTTCATCCCAAAGGCAGAGATAACTCACCGCCAATAACTCAGACATTATGCTCTGTGGTTTTACGGGTTTACTAGGCTATGAGGTGCAACACACAAAAGTACCTACCCTTCTTCTGAGCCTGTCCCTCTCCTCCCTAAAGCCCTGATTTTCAGTTTTGATCTGCTCCAGATCTAACTCGGTTTTCTTGAGTTTAGCCTTCAGACCATCTCTTTCACTGGTCACTGACTGGAGCTCCTGGCAAGATACAAAAACACTCCTTAGCATTATATTATAAATAAGATCACAAATATCAAAAGATGTTGTCAAGTTGGCTTGTCAAAACTGCAATATGTCAGTAAAGTAGAACCATAAAACCATAGCTACATGCAATTGCAAGGAACTTTTCAGCCAATTCTCAGAAATGAAATACAAGGGAAAGTTAATCTACAAAAGCTTTACGTAACATGCTGCAGCCATCACGATTTCAATTGCAAGACTAATTCTTCACTTGAAACTTATCACATACTTTTGATTCAAGTACTGCTCCATTTTATCCTGGTACACAAGTTAACGCCATGATTGGTTCGTTCCTCCCGCTGAGGAGCTGCTCCAGGAAGGTGATTATAAATTTTTACTATTCTGTAATAGCTGAACCTGGGAGATAGAGATGCAGCAGAAATACTGCTGCCCTACAGTAGAACGTTCCATTTTGCACACACCATGAGACCATTTTCAAAAGCCTACAACCGTTTCGTGTAAGCTACACTTACGTCTGGTGTTCCTGTGCTTCCAGAGGACTTTTTCCTTGACACCCACTCTTTTAAACTTGTCTGCTGTAACTGACGTTCCACTGCAAGGGACAATAAAAATTTCACTGTTACAAACAACACTTGAATCAACAAGAAATTACAAGGAAGGCGCGAATGTCTTCTTTGAAAATTAACATTAAGACGAATTATTGACTAGAGTGTGAGTAAGAACCACTTAAGGACGGAGTCCATGCCTGAACAAAAGTTGAAAGCCAAACCACAAGCTTTATTGTCCTCAGTAGTGAATTACGAAGTGATAAAATGATGACAACTGGGATTACATATAAACAGCCGATCCTACATGTATGTAAGCACATAGAGGATGCACCAAAAAGAAAAAAAAAAAACACTTCTTGGGGGCCACAAGCTAAGCTACTTACATAACTGTTTCTTCTTTTCCAGGTCTAGGCATTGAACTCTCAACTCTCTGCATTTAGCCTGCAGATTTTCCTGTTCCTTTGCTGTCTTTTCGGTGTCAATTACAGGTCTTGAAAGCTGGAGAACCAAAATAAACAGAGGTTAAATGATAAATTCCATACAGTATCTATAATTATATACATTTACTGTCTTCAAACCAATCTAACTCTGATAAAAGTAAGACAAAAATTTTCATACATGACAAAGTTATATCTAAAGTAAACGGTATTTCCAGAAAAAGAAAACAGGTGTTATTTAGATGTTGCCTAGATGGTTTGCACCCCTGACATCAGGGGTCCAAATTCTAAGCCCCCCAAAAAGCTTTAATGAGTAAATGAATGACTAGAAAAGTTTTGGTCTCAGTAGACAAATAGTTTGGATGACCATAAGTTCAGAACCAAGTGAGCTACAGTTCAACCTCTGCTGTGAACAGATACCTTTGTAAATGCTCACTCAATCATCTAGTTAAAATGAATGGCTATAAGACTGTACTCATAAATTGATGGAGAGCTGCATCTGTATTAGCTTCATTTCAATCTCATCCCCTAGAACACACACTTACTGTCACTTACTGATTGTAACTGATGTAGCGGCTTCTTCTCAGTGTCTTCTGTGGCTTTCTCTTCTACAGGCTTACTTGCCGGTACTGTCACAGGTATCTTTTCCTCTACCATGGAATCAGTATTTTGTCTGTCAATAGCAAACTCCAGCCCGCCAACTACTTTAGACAACTCATCATCAGTATTATCATCGTTCACACCTTCCTCAGAAGCTAGGCTGTCAGATTCACTCTGGGAACCTAGTATACAAAAAAACAGTATGTCTTTGTTTCTAAGAGACTACAGAAGTGATACCTGTTATCCAGAAAAAAATATTCATTTTGTTACATGATTTTTAAACCTTCAATTCCTTTAACCCTTCACTCCAAAATGAATAACACACCTAGAAAGTGACAACAGGCCTTTTTAGATATAAAAAATTCTAACATGGCTCCGAGGCTTGGGGGAATAAAACAAAAGAAATTAATTATTCATCACTCACCTTGTTGTGATTTCTTTTGTTTTATTCCCCCAAGCCTCGGAGCCAAGTTAGAATTTTAATATATCGAAAATGGTCTATTTCAAACACCCAACAACCAAGTCTGCCCTTCTTTACATGTATTTTCTTCTCCACTCCACTAGTGGAAGAAGCAATTTAAAATAAGCTCTTTTGTATCCATGCATACAGATAAGCAATGATTTGTTTTATCTTTGTCTTTTAGTGAGTTTTTGCAAACGAAAAAATGTAACCAGGCTCATTCATTTAGTCCTACAGTTCTTGTTTAATACAATTCTGAACTCTACATTGTACAGACTGTACGTCAACCAGCAAGGAGATGTTCACATACTTCACTGAAGCTCTGACTGAAGGGATTGAACAAGATATTCACAACATATGTTTAAACTACTTTACCATGCTCTGATGTCTGTGATTCGATTTCATGTTCTTCAGACTCATCAAATTTATCCACAGTGGACTGAGAGAGCTTCTTGTTGAGCTCAGCGATAACACTCTGCAGTTCTGTGATGTGCTGTTCACTGTGCTGTGCCTGGGAAGTCAGTCTGTCTTCATAATCATGGATCAGCTCCTTACGCTCCTGGGCAGCATGTGCAAGTGATGCTTGAAGTTGGTCTCTCTCCTCTGTCAACTGCTGGACTTTACCTGTCAGCTCAACAATTTCTGTTTTCAGAGAAGCCAATGCTGCCAGGTGAAGCTGCAGATGAAACAGAAAATTGTCCACATTAAATTCTCCATGCACTTCTGTCAACTATTTGGCATTTTTCCAACTCTGATTGTGTTAAGTTCTCCTTTGTGTTTACATTAACATAACAGTCTACATGTCTGATGCAAAACACTTGCAATGCCAGAGATTTCAAGATAAAAGTATTATAAATCATAATTCCATTATATATGTTTTGAGATTCTCTTTTGTTAACCCTTTGGCCGTGGCTTTACTTTATACAAAACTTTCTATGGGTGTTAACCAAACCTAAATTTTTTAAGTTTTTGCCATAAATTAAAAGTACAAAATTAATCAATATCACTCTGCTGTAGTCCTTTTTACTAAACCCTGCTGTGAGTGTTTATGGTTTGATTCTTAGTTAGTCATTGTTTACGCATGCAGCCTATAAGTAACAAAAAAAAAAAAAAACATGGTAAAGGAGAATAAACTTGTACAGTACATTTCAATCTTATGGCATTTTATTACACTTAAAAATAAGTCAGTCTCAACAACAGAACAAGAAACAAGACTACAGGCCATGGACCATTTTCAGTCTTGCATGTGCACGTTCACAACTCATAAAACATGGCTGTATTAGCTAAGGAATGCAGAAAATGGTCAACAGAGACTCAACAAACAAAACAACTGCATTAAATAATCTATTATACATGTAGCTAGCAAAATTAATGAATGTTAAATTACAGTACACATGTTGATGTGAAAAGAATGGCATAAACATATTCAACACTGTTTTCTATTTAAGCACCTTGAGATACCTGTTCACTTTAACTGCACATGATAAACATCCAATAGTACATGAATAACAAAATTGTTTTTAACTAAGGTGCAAAATCTAACAAAGGGCAGGAAACCACAAGATTCAAGCTTAAAAATTGGATGTTGAACAATGAAATGAGATGACAAAAATCAATGCTCCATCAACCAATTGTATTCATCATTAACCAATTTAAAATGAGACACCCCTCAGAGAAACAACAATAAAGCCACGTGCCCTCTATTGATGCTATTATCCAGTTGTTGGCTAAACCCAAAACTGGAATGATAGGATTGAATTGCTGTGTAAAATATTGAATGTGAAAAGCTGTTCTCAGTAATCTCTTAGCCAATTAACAAACTTCTAGCATCTCAATAAAATGATTACATTGCTTATTAGTTACAGCTTCAGTCTACTTTTAGAGTGAAACTTCAAGTTTATCAAATAATACTGTATTTACTTTGAATGAAACAACAGTGTGCAACTATTTTAATGTGTGAAAGCTTATTGTGTCAAAAACATTCCTGTGGTGATGTTTATTATTCTTGACAATTTTGAATTGGGTTTAAAACAGTTAAGATTGTGCTCGGCACACTTATTCAAATCATCTTCTGCGCCTTTTGACATTGCAATTTATTTTTGGAACATACATACATGCATAATTCAATAAGTACATGTACAGCACGGAGTAATTCATGCTTGGCAAAGAGGACATCAAGTGTCTCTGGGTATATGTATTTACCTAGCTTGTACAATCAAATCAAATCAAATCCAGTCAACCTTCAGTGGATTCCAGACTCACATATTAAGTACTTTCTTTACATGACTAAATTAACAACTACAAGTGGTCAGGCATGTACAGTTAGGCTAGTATTAGGTCAGCGAGATGTAGCCATACATATAGGTAGCTACATGTAACCTGTGTGAAAAATCAAAATTCATAACGTCATAGTTTACTGTGCTGTACACTGTAGTTGTCATTTACCACATAATAGTGCCACCTAGAGCAGTACAATAATATTAAAACAATCAAGAAAAAAAATGGAAATGCACCCTATCTTTTCAGTATATGCATGTAAACATTATTAAATAATATAACAATAAAAGGACTTTTCAATGAATATTTTTGAGACCTCAGAAGCCCTAGCTCAAGATAGACATTTCCTGTAGTATCTTGGCAACATTCTGGTCTCAGTCTGACAACACTTATCACTACATGTACATCAGCTGTTAATGCACCCCAGTTCTATTTACTAAAATTGCAAGACAATTCAGCGGAGTTTAATTTTAAAAGCCAGATGTACCCATTTGTACTCAAATTGAATAATATTATGATTCACAAGCAAAAAGATCGCTGATCATCTAAGAGTCACAAGCAAAAAGATCGCTTATCATCTGAGAGTCACGGAAGAAAAGCCTCCCCTGATAAACCGGGAAAGTGTAGCCTATGAATTCACATGTGATTTGCACAATTGAAATAATATTGGGTACACTTGCTGCCACCCCCATCAACACGTACAGGAACATAAACATTCCGTGATCAGAAAACATTTCAGGGTCAGCATGCCTTAACACCTGACAACTTAATTAAGAACTTTAAAGTCCTCAAGAAATGCCCTGGAAAACTTGAATGTTTGATCTTTGAAATGGTGTTGATTAAAAACAAAAGACCGAAACTTAACACGCAACCGGATTCCATTCGTGCAAAACCTTTTTACCTGAATGTTTTCATATAATGTTGGCCAACTTATTATCTCACATCCTAAAGTACTATAAATATGCTTGCCCTTATTTTTAATTTATTCATTCGACAATGATGACATGAAGTCGTTGAAATGTCATGTTACAGTGTACTTTACTTACATTAATTTTCTTGCTTAAATGTTTATCGAAATCATTTTTTATAATTATGATTCAGTTTTATAGAAAGCATCCAATGACAAATTTAAGATTTGCACTTGATCGTAGCCTTCTAGTGAAACAAATCAATTCGGATTTGTCAGGCAGATATTCTTCAAAATAACCAGAGAACTGGAAGAAGTTTACAAATGTACAAATATTGTCATGAGCTTGACTTTCACACATTAACTACTTCATGTACAATAAGTTAAAAGAAGTAACACAGTGTCCTACACCATCAAAATGTTAAGTTTCAAAGCCAGTTGAAAATAAATGTTAATAACAATGTACAGAATCTTGGAATTGTTATATAAAAACCTTTAATTTGAGCCAGTTAGTCTAGCTAGAAAATAAAGAATGATGTGCATGTTTAGTAAAGACAATGTAATGCAATGTGCAATATGATAACATAAGGAAATTTTGAGGATATAGACCTATAAATGCTAAATTCAGAGCTAAATGCAAAATTCAGTGCTACCCTCAACAACTTAAACACGTCCACATAATTAATACAAGCTTCTAGCTTCACCACAGTCCTTAACTTTAAGGCCTACCCTTTGAAGCCTGAGAAGATAAACTCTAACATAAGGTGAACAATACGTTTTGACGACATCCAGACTAACTCTGTTTTCTGTGCTACACAAGTTGGTCATCAAAGACCTTCTCAAGTTATGTCCAAAGTCTACATAATCAGAACTCATTGTGTACATGTATTGTAAAAGGAATCTTGTCTGACCAGCCTGATCAACATACACGTATAAACATAGCCAGTGGTCAAGCTCAAGGCAATTTGAGGGCAAAGTCTTATAGACATGCCCAGGTCTGTCCCAGGAAATAATCACAGATAACAGCTATTGACTAATCCATCTGCTATCACAACATGACTGTCATTTAAAACCATAATATTGAGCAAAAAAGACAATGTCCAGAATTTTTCTTCCAAGTAATTTTGTGTTAAGCAAAGAATATTATAAATCAAGAATGTTCATCTATTCCCAGCAATAATAGTCTTAGATGACAAATTAAAATTATTGAGTGATATTATTTCATCAAACTGTAAGGTAAAACTGCCACTTGGCAGACAATTCATGGTATTTTGCAGTACTTAACATGTCTGACTTCAATTCAGTGAACAGTATGTTGAACATAACTATTTCTAATCCTGTTTTAAAAACAATGCCTCAGACTTGTAAATGTAAAGATTCCTCTGATATTTGCATTCTCTTCATTTAGTTTATTCCATTTAGAAGACTTATAGAACATTATAGTATGCATCTCTTTACTGTACATCATTCTGTTGCAATTCATTATTGTTTGAAAATCCTATTTTACATCATGAAAGGCAGAAAACAATGAAAGGGCTACAAACATACTGTGACACTGTTATTTTAAAACTTGTGTAAGCACAAAATCAGGCAAATATCTATTTTGCAAAACAACGTTACATACAAGTAGCTTAATTGTATGCACGTAAGATTTGTTCAGTTTTGTGGTTTAGTCTTCTTTTTTACAAAAGATAATACATAACATTATTTATCGCTTAACCTCATGGAATGTTAAGGTTAATTCTTCAGTTGAAGATATTTACATTCATCATATGACCTTCCCATCAACAAGAGCCTCTATTTTTGTGGCAATGTTTATGTTAGAAATCATTCAGTGTCAGTCTGCATGCATGGTAACAATGCAACTGGACATATCATCATGGGAATAGAACAGATTCTAAAGAGTGTACAAAGAATTTTCAGGATTAGAAAAATATGCTATAATTAAATATTCAAAACTCTTGGTACCTTGATCTTATGCATTTTTTAACTTGAATCGAGTCTGGCAACTCCGTCATCCTTCACACTGTCACCGTGAATTAAAATGAGTGCTTCATCTCTTGTCAGACCCAGTTATTCAGGCACCAGTTTCACTCACATGCCACATAACCACTTATAACATTAGCGCCAAAGTACCATGAATAAAATGGAATATTTTTGTCACTACAATGAACCTTACTAGCCAATAGATTTTGTAACGATTCAGCTAAATAAATCCTTTCATCACTGCACTATAGTGGAAGCAAAATCAATTCATTGTAAGCAAATTTGCATCGAGTTAATGCAACAGAACAAAAGATGTTTCTAACTTTTTTCAAAAATCAAACAATACAGTGAGTTAAGAATGAAAAATAACTCTATTCAGCTGTTGTCCTTAATTAAAAATTTCATTTCACATAGACTACTGGAACATGCTAAGACTTAAGAAAATTAATAAGTAATGCACATTTCCTATTTAGGGATCCTTTGAATCCATCTGTTTTTAGTGAAAGAATATCAGTTACATGTATAACACAATGTGGGGTAAACCTGAATAAGGAGTATACGTGTATACCTTTAAAAAAAAAATTCAAAGAAAAATTGTGACTATACTGTAACTAGTATACAAAGTTGTATCACCAAAAGAAAACATAGATATCGACAAAATTGGTAAGAAAGGTGTTGCAAATAATTTTTTTAAAATTTACCCTTGGGTTAAATTTCCCAATTATATCATTGACCACAAATAATAAATGCAAAGCAGTATTATCCAAAAGAAACAAAATGATCCTGAATTTTATTGCCCAAACATATTCAGTTGCTAAATAACTGATGATATATTCAGATTGCTTTGATTCCCATTTGAAATGTTTACATGGAATATCTTCAGGGTGTAAAAGGATAAACAAGCACTGTCAGTGCTGGTAAAAAAATAATAATTTAAAAGTACAGACATGAGGTCTCACAGAACCTGACTTACTGTCACAAATAATCTGTTACGAAAAAGCACGAAGTGAGAAAAATGATTTATAATGAATGTAAAAAACAGCACAAAGTGTCCATGTATATTCAAACAATTTCTCTCTCAGTTCTTTGTATTTCTAGGCTTGAAACTTCAAATCTCATAGATACTAACTGCACTACAATTCTTGTAATCACTGGGAGAATTCTAAGGTTCAATTGAGGACAACATGTCTCCTTTTTTATTTTTAATATTTATTATTTTAATCATCTGTCTTTGTATAATCATGTAGCTGATTGGTAAACATAAATTACCAGGAGATAAATTAGTGTATGCAAAGATCCAACATCACAACATTTGTTGATCCATCTATTCAATCCTCTGGCAATATGTCAAAAAGGTACATGTACTCAAATAGGCCTGATTTGTTGGACTAGTCTGGACAGTCCAGTAGGTACATCATAAATTCTATTGTCAGCCATTGCCAATGAACGATGAAGTTCTGTAGGAAATTTTTTTGCAGACAGCCATCTGTATGCCTGCAAAGCTGTACTCACGTCAACTTTGCAGGAATGCTGCCAGTCAATACCTGAGACAGAACGTAGTGTTGGTGATAAATGATCCCATACACCCAGGCTCCAGGGAGTCCCAGGTCATACAGACAGTCATTTCTGAGATATGCTAGCCTGGGTCTTTAAGCCCAGAGACCTGTTAGCTTTACTGTGCCTTTCAATAACATGCAAACCCTGCTCAATCAACAATTTTGTGTCTTGAATGCTGCTGTCAATCATCTTAGCAGACCTCTCAGGAAAGAGAAATAATGCATCCATGCAATCCATTTTTAGTATTGGTAAACATGCATGCCAAAGATATAGGATTTATATACGTCCATTCACAGTGATTTCGTGATTTCAACTGATTTCAAGTGGAATCTTCTGCCAAACATGAAATCAAGGAAAAAATACCCCTACTTCACAATGAACTGTTTTCGTTACGAGTGCAATGTTTTGAAAAAGTAATTCAGAGAAACTGCTTTGTGAACGGTCCATCTGAGGGGTCTGTATTACAGAATTTGGACCACTCAGAGAACCAATCAGAATTAAAGAATTGGTTCATGCTTGGCATGCATATATCGAGTCATGGATGAACATGGGAAGTTTGGAGAGCATGAGAGAAATGTAAGAGTTGCTCAAGGCGACAGCCAAGAGCAACTCTAGCTACTTAAGTGCTCTCCAAACTTCCCAAGTGCATCCATAACTCAATATTTGCACAGCTGAAAGCATGAACCAATTCTTTTATATAACATGGTGACAACAACTTGGGTGCTAAAACATGTTTTAGTTTGTGATTGACTTCAAAGTTCTCACAATGCACAGTGAAGAAAAACAAAGTTTATTAGGATCTAGCTAACATGCAACAATCAGTTGAGCAATGGTTGAACAAAAACACGTAAACTTGTTTAAAAAAACTGTCAATGAAAAAATCGTTTCTTCGAAGTCTTATAATGAAAATGTAGGTAAACAAAGTCAAAAATATGCAATAAAAATGTAGACAAACAAAGTCAAAATACTCAAGTTTAAGTAAAAATCTTAGCTTGGCAAAAGTCAAAGGCTTGAAGTAGAGTTTGGATTGTTCAGAATAGAATCTTCACATTGCCGAAACTTAAACAAAAGAAACTCGAAAATTTTGCAGCTAAATTGAAACTGCACATGTCATGTTATATATGCACAGCCATGCCTACATAGAGATTTCGTTCATGATGGCTCAATAGGAATTAGATAGGACTAGTGTGCACACTATGTTATAATCTTCTTTTTGCCATGGACCACTTTGCCATATTTAATGACATGTGATGTTTGAACAGGAAGGTAGTAAATGTTTTTGTTAATTTCATAAAAGTAAAATAATTTAAAACCAAAAGCTACTGATTCCTTTAACTTTAAAGTCACAACTTCTGGTAAACTTGAAAGTAGTTACAAGGTTATTCCACACCAGAAATGATGACAGCTACTTGATCAATCATCAAAAGATTAAATCAGTGTAAGTTTAACGTAGAACGTGGGTCTAAATAGAATTGAGAGCCCGCAATTCGGCTATCTCTGACAAACTATGACATATCATTTTAATCTCAAATAGGAATAAATTGAAACAGCGTGTGGTTGTTACGCCTGATGAGAAAACTTAGTAAGTAACATGTAGTCATTAATAAAATCCGGAAAACCCCACTAAATTAAGAACAAATTAGAAGAACTTACATGCATTTACATGCACGCTCCTTTCAAGTTATATTGCTTTCTAATTCCATGCACCATATATTAAACAATAAGGTGTCATTTACAGCTAAATTTGTATATATCGTTTTTGCGAATTAGACACGCAACTTGAAACTCAACTTTCTCAGCCAAAAACTAGCATCAGAAAAGACTGCAGTTATTTTCTTGCTAGGGAATTTTAACACATTAATATTTAATGCCTGAGAGGTCAAGTTATATTCTGTCACAAGTGATACGGACAAAAAATATGACAGAATATTATTTATGTTGACATTCAAAATATAACCTTGAGAAAAAGACCGTTTCAGAGCAAGAGAACCCATCAATATCACAGAGAGCGCAATACAATATATAGTTGCTGCATTTTATTCCACATCAGTCAAACCTTGAAGTCAACTGTGAGGTTTTTTTTTAGGATTTTTCCTGACAAAGGCACAGCCCAACATTAATTACACCTAATTGTGCTGCGGGACACAATTGCTGCGGGCAAATATTCGCGATTAGCCTAAAGATAGCGGTAATTTGACGAAATCTCTTTGTTTCGGTTCAGCTCTGACTACGATAACCAGACTTTCGGTCGATTATCCACAAAGCGGTAGAATTCAATGTTTCAATCGTCAACTCATTAAATCTAGAAATTGGTTTAGGCTCATGGTGAACTATTGTCATTTTGATGGTTTCCCTACGAAAAAGATAACCTAGTGAAAATTAATCAAAGAGTCAGTTCCACAGACATTTGTTTATTAGTTTACACTCAACTTTATGTATACAGGCTGGAAAAAACACTGTATAATAACGGTTAAGTGAGAGATGGATCCCAAACACAAATTATAAGCTATAGTTAAAATAGGAACGAGCTTATGTTTAATTGCTCACTAATTTGATGAATATTGAAGTTAATTTCGCGCATTCGTACGAGCTATGAGCTTGGAATAATTTATTGATACAAACATTTTCGACCTGACTCGATCTTCAGAACAAATTTGAAGCTGATACAATTAGTCGAGAAACAAACTAGAGTTTGCACCCGACAGAAGGCAGCTGGAAATATTTACAGCCAAATCGAAAACACACGAACGACTTAATTGGGCATTCCACAAAACCATCATTAGTTCCAAGATGGCATAATTTCCATTCAAAAGAAAGCAAATCACTCTCGCAGTTTGCTAATTATTTGCATTTTCAATGTCAAAAAAGATCCACAGCTGGTGAATATTTTACCCACAATGAATCTTACTAGTTCTTTGAGCGGAAAAACCGGCGAACAAGTGAATTTATGAAGCACTAGCAGCTATGTAACTTATATCCGTTTCAAAACACGAATATAAAATGTGTTTGTACCAACACTCTAATTCTTCGATTTACTAGCATTCGTTAGTACATAAAACATCACAAATCAAACATCAGATGGTATGCAGTTGCACCGATCTTTGATTCAGAGCCACGATCCCAAGAGAAGCTTTGCATTTCGGCAGTTTCTATGCAGATTCCGGAAATGATGACCGAAGCTTGCGCGCACCCATGCGATAAAAGCTCGAATATGTTCACCCACAAAATCAAAGCACAAAAAAAAAAAAAAACCGTCGAAACGTTCTGAGTAAACTACGGATGATAATATGTAAACACTTAACATTTAACTTACCGTATTCGCTAACTCCAAGAAGTTGCTCGACCGAGACTGTCCTTTTGAATTCGCCACAGACATAATCTGCTGAAGAGTTGGGTCGCCGTTCAAATCATGTGCCCCGCTATCGATTTCCCAACTTTCTTTTCCACTCGTCTTGTCGTTCAGTTTCTTGGCGCTCATTTCGTCGCTTGAGTTATTTGCTGTCACCTTTGATTTCTCATTTCCTTTTATCACTTGCTGTCTAAGTTGCTCTAGTGAAACAAGTCCATCGTTTTCAGAACCTAGTTGAGCGATGATGTCTCTCACGCCGTTGTCCTCAAGTCCCAGTTGCTTACATGTTAGCGACAGATCAGGGCTGCGAACAATTCACAACAGACACAACATCAAGGTAAATAAACCCCCGGTAAGCCAGTGAAAGGGTCTTAGTGAGAGCGGTAAAATGATTAAACAAAATCTACTGTGACAAGTATAAAGGACAATGTTTTGCTGTTTTGTGCTGTGTCGGTTAATGTCACGTAAACCCAAAATGCATTGACCCGAAACCCGACCGCATAAACACGGGTTAGATGCGTGATTAACCTACAATTCTACAAGAATCTAAAGACTTTAAATCCTTCAGACATAACAGCATACCTCTCAAGGAAGCCGGTGACCCGTCCATCACTTGTATTCAGAATTTTACGAATACTGTCCTCCAAACTTTCACTCGACGCTCGTCTAGAACTGGCCGACGATATCGACAGACCATTTTCATTGTCGCTCATGCTACGAAGGCGATTTTTCTGGTTTGTCTAACTTAAAACTCTTCTTTGAATCTCTTGTAAACTTTAGAGAAAATTTTGCCACTTCAAACAAAACTATTCATACAGAAACACGGGAAATAAGAGCGAGAGGTATCAAATAAAATTTCTGCTAGTATAAAATAATGTTCTGAATGGCGAGATATCGGAAGCTGATTGGTTACCAAGCTTGCGACAGGTTTAGATATCTCTCCTTTCCGGGGTAGGTACAGGCAATGGCCAGGTGTATTTCCGTTATGAGCCAGGAAAGTCATCCTTTTACGATATGAAACTTTGAGAACGTCATTAACGTAGTATTTCTGATTATTCCGTGGAGTTTATGTGAAAAGAAACCCTCGTTATTGTTATTTTATAACAAAGGGTGATCCAAGGACGAATGATCTTCTCACCCTACCCTACACGACGATGTCTTAAGTGCCATAGCTTGCGTACAGGAAGTCAAGATATTTCCTTTCATTTCAAATACATTGTCTTTGGTCTTTTATAAATGGAATCAGGTGGTTCCTTCAGATAAGTTTCCTTTATCATTGATATTGCAGCAATTCAAACATTATTCCCGCAGTCCATGAAAAATAAACAAGCTAAAATATGAGGACCAAAGAAAGAAAATTCGTTTATTTACATTTTTGAAACTGGTCAGATAACACAAACCGCAAACAGATTGTTTGAATTTTTCTGAGGACTTAACACATTAAGAGAATTAAAGATTTTTAAAAATGTTTTGTTATTTCTTCTTCTTTAACACAGAGAAATGAGAAAATCTAAACAATTTTGAACTTATTTTAGAAGCTCAGGGTATAATTTCTGTTTTCAAAGGAAACAGAACTGAAAATAATGACTGGAGGATTAACTCAGTCGTTTGCCATTAACAGGTCATTATCTCCTACTAAAACGCTCTTGAAAGTAACCAGTTTATGATACATTTAACTTTATTAGTTACCTTAATGACATTTTTTGCCCTCAAAAATGGAAGTGATTAAAACCCTCGGTATTGAAACAACCCTTTATATCGCTGGGACCGTTCAGCTTAGCTTAAGCAATGCTCTCATCTTGTGTTGTTTATTTCCCTGCATTGAGCCTTTCCGTTTGGGTAAAAACTATTTTTAGCTTGTCTGGTTGTGACAAGTGGAAGGGTTTTTCTTTTAGGGGGACTTCATTAGAGAGAAACAGGGAAGCTGTCTAGTTTATAATATTAGAGCCGCCAAAGTTAATTTCAAAGAAGGTTCTTTTTATTTTCAACAGAAGAGGTTTGATTTCACGTTAAACTGCGACAATGATTGCTGGACACTTCGGAGGAAAAGGTCCAATTCTTATGTTCTTTAGTTAAGGCGGGGGTCTACCTGAATTTAAGTGAAATTTTAGGAAGTTTAACGAGGGATTAAAAGGAAAAAAACGGTTATGGAACACCACCAGACAGTTAAACGCCCCCGAAAGGGCACCCCAGGTTGGTGGACAACTGTTTGGTGTACGTCTACCAATTTTTAACTTCATATTCTAATTTTAAAACAACACCAAATCCCAATCTTCAAAATTTCCTATTTCCATAAATTTGACTAATCCTTTGAGAAAATCTTTCTATGTCCAAATATATCCAAAAATCACCAAAAAACTTACAGAACAGCCCAAAACACAGATATGTGGGATGAGCAGAGAGATTTTTGACTGCTTGAAACGTGAACGAGATATTTGCGTTAAAACCATAATACCCAGCCAAAATACGGCCTTCATGTAGACCCCCGCCTTAAACGAGACTTGAAACCTCTAGAAGACCCGGGAGAAGACGAATAACAATCACGGAGTTTTTAAAAATAGAATATCTAAACAAGGAGTTAGGCGCGTTTTCATT